TCGTAGTCAACATTATATTTGGAGCACAAGCATTAAACAGTATCAATAGGGAAGCAAGTTTCTCTTTGACAATATCTTCAAAATTGCGGTCAATATACAACATAATAACAAATCAATGTGTATGTGCAGTAAACACGAGTCATTAATTCTGTATAATCTCAACTGTGGTCATTAAACTGTTTTAATGACTCTCATGTGACCACATTTTGACCAATCAGCATCTTGATATTGGGCATGAGGTGTAATAAAAGCATTTTATGCAAATCATTATGACTCCGTTTTGGGGATTTTTCCTGAAGTAATTCTTCAGTTAATAATATCGTCTTAGGAAAACTTTTCAATCATTCAAGTATTTTGGGTTAAATATACAAATAATTTCTTAATAAATCAGTTAAAAAAATGAAATAAATCATTTGAATGGAAGGAATAATGTTTTTGAAACTTGTTTTGCGTGACAGTCTCTAAACCCATAATAAAAATTACAAACAATTATATTATGTGTTTGCTTGACTATGGAATATTTATATGAAATTTTATAATCAATATAAACACAGCTGTTGTCTCCATTGTCTCATGACAATATTATAGAAATTCAACTGTGTTTCTTTTTTGTTTCCCACAAAACGTATCAGGCAGTTTATTTTAAACCATCTCCATATTTGTTGGTGGTGGTGGTGGGGGGTTAATAACATAGCTGTTTTTACTGTTATGGCAATCATAATATTAGTTTATTACTGATTGAAATAAATGTATGCCATATTTGCTCTACTAGTAGCACATACACTTACTTGAATTACACAGGTGTTTCTATGGTTACAGTGAAAACCGGTAGTATTCCAATGCATACAATAATTTAATCAATCAGAATAAAGATTTCAAACGTGATGCCATGATGCAAATGTTTCTTGTTTCCAATAATCATTCTTATTATATCTACTTATTTATTGTAGAGGTTGTTAAAGGTCACAAGAGAGCAAAGTCTGAGTCGGGTACCCCCTCACCACCACTACCACCACCACCACCACTACCAGCACGGTCACCCGTTCTACATGCTGGTTTGAGCCGTTGCAGTTCAGAAAAATCCACTTCAGGATTACTGTGTGCAACCCCTGGTGGTGTTCGCTGTAATCCATTTATAAACACACCTTTTGGGCGAAATAAATTGATAAGCACTAGTGATAACAGTTCTGTGTTTGAGATGTCGCCATCAACACCACCATCATCCCCTGTGTTTCCTCACGAGGTTCTAGCAACGTTGGCAGAAGTCCACCGCCAAAGAAGAAAGTCACGTTCATTACCAACATCACCAGAATTACAAAGACGATCCATCACCAACTCAACATCATCAGATGAATCAATGTTATCATGGAGTCTTAGTTACTCCTGTAGAGGGAGCAAATCTAGCATGTCAAGTGGACTATTAGGACTTTCAAATAAAGATAAGATGTCTGATGTGATACCAAAAGATAGTCATAAAACACATGATATTCACATTGGTAGTAGGCGTCTGGATTCTGGTCTCAGTTCTTTATACGATGAAGACTTGGAGCATGCTTCAGAGATTGGCAATGTTAGTATCTCCAAAGTCAGGGAAAAACTGGAGGAAAGCTTGTCTATTAATCCTCTTAATAGTAGCTACAGTAGTACATGCAGCTCTAGCTTATCTGCTAGATATTCCCAAGACATAGATGGGTTGCCTAGCAACTGGGATGAGAAAGATGATGGTGATGAAGCTAGTAGTAAAAAAGAAAGAAACTGATGAAATGATATGTGTTACTTACAAAACATTAGTAAGCAGAAAAAGATATCTTTACTATCATGTGAATATTGCCTTTTGTTGACATACTTGCTATTACCAAGGATTTATAAGATAATAATATGCACAATATATGTACAATGATATGCATCAATCAAATGTATTGTAACCAATAGCATCACAGAATGCATTGGATGCATTAAAACGTTGTGTAAACAGACATGACTGTGATTACCATGAGTGATACACACTGTGTCAATTAGCTAGCAAAACGTGGTTGACACAAACACTAGTTCTTTGACAGAATCTCTCATTTGTGTTGTACATCTACAAATTCAGTCTAGTCTTGTAATTTTGTAATCTCACAATTGGCATTACTTTGTATTGATATCTACATCGCATATCATACCTGTTACATACCCTTATTTTATAAATTCTTATCATTTATTATTTGGACAAACTCATCGAAGTTCTGCATTCTCAAAACTCATCACTGTTTGGGGGGATATTTAACTTCAATAAATGTTACTGTCAGATTATACAACTTCAGATTTGTCGTGACACAGTAGAGTAAGTGTGTATACACTAGTGGCAGAGATACCAACTGTTTAGCTTCCTTTGTGAGTTTGTCTAAATAATAGTCATACTTTAAGTGTATCACTCAAAGGTAGCTTATTTTTCCACTGATTTAAATTTATAATTGTAATCTGCCTGTGAGTGAAAATGAATATTATGACTAATTTGATCACATGACTAATATGATCATGATTTGGTCACATGATTGACAAGTTAAAAAACATACTTGGTGCTTGTTTTCAAACCTAAATTTACATAAAAAATAAACCATATAATTATACATGTACATAAAATTATTTATCCAAGAAAATCCTGTGCCTTGCATGAAATTTATGCAATGTCTTTTTCTTTGAAAGTGTTAATACATAGCGCTGCCAATTTTACACCCAACATTCCATGATTTATTTTCTGTCTAATTAGTTTTACTTTGGAGGGGTGATTATACGGAAATGACATTCGGTATGTTCAGATAAATAAGTCTATAGTTGTCCCTGTTGCATTCATTACATGAAATTAGCATAATTACTGGTTTGTATCATGAAAATCAGACTGGACTCACTGAATCTTAGTTCTATTTAATCTGATTTAAATCTGCAGTGCTTTTAATAAACATGTCAACAACAACCAATTACAAATCACATTTCATTCAGATCTCGGCTGAGCTGCAGTTAAGGTGATATATATATTGTTACCTGTCCCTACATAATGCATTATGATAAACACATTATGTAAAGTTTGTTGAACTGTTGTATTTTCATTTATTGTGTCTTGATTATTATTCTACACATTAGTTTCATCAACATCTTTTAGCAACTCATGTTTGCTAGCCTGTAACAAGACAATACATTGTCATGTACATGTGACAAAATTATGTGAAAGTTGCTGTGACTCAACATCTTTAGAAACCCCAGTGAATACCTGTACTTAATAACTTTGATGAATTTGAATTACTCATGAACTGACTGACAATATTAAAGCTGTTCACTGTATTTACTTTTTAGTTTTTCTGCAATGTTTGTTGATTTCACAAGTCTCAGGATAAAAGCAGATTCCCACATTCACAATTTATAGGAGAATGGAACAGTGACACCATTCATATAGCAGCTAATGTTAGCTGTGATTATAGGAGAATGGAACAGTGACACCATTCATATAGCAGCTAATGTTAGCTGTGATTATAGGAGAATGGAACAGTGACACCATTCATATAGCAGCTAATGTTAGCTGTGATTATAGGAGAATGGAACAGTGACACCATTCATATAGCAGCTAATGTTAGCTGTGATTATAGGAGAATGGAACAGTGACACCATTCATATAGCAGCTAATGTTAGCTGTGATTATAGGAGAATGGAACAGTGACACCATTCATATAGCAGCTAATGTTAGCTGTGATTATAGGAGAATGGAACAGTGACACCATTCATATAGCAGCTAATGTTAGCTGTGATTATAGGAGAATGGAACAGTGACACCATTCATATAGCAGCTAATGTTAGCTGTGATTATAGAAGAATGGAACAGTGACACCATTCATATAGCAGCTAATGTTAGCTGTGATTATAGAAGAATGGAACAGTGACACCATTCATATAGCAGCTAATGTTAGCTGTGATTATAGGAGAATGGAACAGTGACACCATTCATATAGCAGCTAATGTTAGCTGTGATTATAGGAGAATGGAACAGTGACACCATTCATATAGCAGCTAATGTTAGCTGTGATTATAGGAGAATGGAACAGTGACACCATTCATATAGCAGCTAATGTTAGCTGTGATTATAGGAGAATGGAACAGTGACACCATTCATATAGCAGCTAATGTTAGCTGTGATTATAGGAGAATGGAACAGTGACACCATTCATATAGCAGCTAATGTTAGCTGTGATTATAGGAGAATGGAACAGTGACACCATTCATATAGCAGCTAATGGTAGCTGTGATTAGGGGGGTGTCATTATTAACTTCTGTGGGGGCAAAATTATGGGGGTAAAAACATACCTGGATTTGAAAAATAATGTGCCCCTTGCTTTCAGTGATTTGCCACCACAGGCAACAAAAAATGGTCCCTCCCTAAATTGAATCTGCTATACAGTTGAAATCCTTGACATGGTTTCTATAAATTACTGCTTTGTGCCTTTTGATGAGTACACCTTGAAGCCCACAAGTGTGAATACCTTGTTTGTATAAAGATAGAAATGTTGTAATAGCTTGTATAATTTTCAACATGTCCAGTACATCATCTTAATGTTTCATTCCTTTGTAGTATGTATTCTTTGAAACAAGTTATTTTTGTGTGTGTTTGGGTACTTTTTAATAGAGTTGCTTACCATGACTAGTCTGCTACCATAGCTATTGTGATTGGTTGATGACATTTTGCATCAGATTATTAAACCAATCAATTGACATCTTCTATATTTTATTCTTTCCAGTATCCTTTTTGTAATCACCACAGCAGTTGAAAACAAATTATGTGACCAGTAATACTGTGAAAATGTCACATCTCATATTTATGTACTTTTAATATTTTTGTAATTCAACAGTTTTAGTTTAATCATTAACATTCTCGGATGCAAAAAATGAATTATATTAATTTAATAACAATTATACCTTGATTATAAGAAAGTGCAATGTAAAAAAAAACTGTAATATAAAATTAGTTTATTGAGTGTAATAATAAATACTGTATTTACTCTATTAGTAGTGCATGTAAATAATTGATAGACGTGTCATAATAAGTCATATACAATGATGTCCTAATAAAGTAAATATGGTATCATTTACTTATTTAGAATAACTGTCTCGCAAGATATTTCTATGAGAGAATCACCAAATTTGTAGCAATGAGTCAAAGTGAGTTTAAATTTAGTCAGATTTAGCACCTTTGAATCCCACCATTGACAAAACAAGACCTCGTATTACATTTTATAGGACTTGTGTACATTGAAACCTATTTAACCCGAATGCTAAAGGAAGTAATAGAAGTAATTCTGTATAGAAATGTACTGCTTGACACAAGGTTTAGTTTAGAAAGGTTTTCCTGTATTAAATGTTACTCAACAGCCTCTATGTATCCACAAAGCTACCACTAATAGTTCCATAATTAATTAAAAAATGCCTAAATTAAGTTTCAATGTGCCCTGAATATTCTGCTCTAAGCAGGTATTCATTGCACAATATGAATATATCTGTTATAAGTGATCATGTATCAGGAAAATATACTGTATCATAGGGGATGTACCAATTGAAATACTAGAGAGGGGCAGGACTGAACCATCTGATCAGATGATACTGGGATATATTTTGCTGACACTTCACAGGATTCTAAATTGTTCAAGATAAACTATTTGAGGTCATAGTACACACTGACTATATATACTACTGTATAAGCTCTGTAATATGCCACTCAATGGCGGCACTGATTCTGAGTGCTTGGTATATATTTGATATCTCATTATTTTTTTCACCAAGTGCATCTGTAATGCAAGCCTTAAGCATGTCCAGATTGGAAGCCTACTTGCAAACTTGTTCAATAATTTTTTTAAAATTCCCTCAGTATTTGTACAGGTAACGTACAGCTAATTCTACGACAATGCAAGTTAATCTTATTAATATGTAAATTTAAATTCCATTAACTCTTGTTGATATATTGTAAGAGTTAGTTTGTTTCAAGTTGGTGCTTGACCATATTGGCCAAGCAGAAAAACTACCGTCTTAATACATAATTATACCCTATTTGCATTACAGCAAAGTTGCATGTGGAACTTTGTTTAAGAAAATACATCCAATCCTGGGTATAGTTTAATAGTTAGCTGCTCTTAATAACGTAATGATTTAACTTGGATATATCTTATTGTTTTAGTGCCTTGTACAAATATGCAATCAATCTTAAAGTACCTGCTATTCTGTTTTGTGATCAGTTTCCGTTAATGACTGGTGCTAATATTTCACACCCCTAGCATACACTACTGACCAGTTTTGTTAAATTCCTATCTATGGCTTACATATATAATATGCTTGATAATCTGATCTTATAAAACTGTCAGGATTACGATGTGACTTGCATCGTTAAGTTAAAGGGTCCCTGAGTCCCTAAATAACCTGAACTTTTTTAGTATGAAACAAAAATTAAAAAAAATGTACTGCATAGTTAAAAAAACTTGTACTATTAATTGTTTGACTAGTAATTGGAATGTCCACCTGTGTTTAAACTGCTGTTCATAGCCCCCACATATGGAGATCACATTGCCTCTGCAAGTTGAGTTCAGCAATATTAACATCCTTAAAAATTCCTCTTATTGTTTTATTCCAAATTTATAAAAATTTGGTTTAACACAATTATAGAAGTCTTAATTTGCCTTCAATTTCATCAGTTCTTCATAAAACTAATTATCAAAATTTTAAGGTAAATTATGTGTATAATAT